TAAAAGACTTGAAGTTTTGTGTATTTAGCACAACCCATATATATATATATATATAACATGTTAATTTTTTTTGGTTCAATCATTGTCAGTTAATGGAGGATTTTTTGACAACAAAAACTATTTGTTCTGTCATAAATTAGTTTAATTGCAAACGAAGTCATACTTCCTTCGGACAAAATCATTTTGTTGCTATAACATACCAGATTTACACAGAAACTAGATGTTTGCGAGAGTTTATGAGGATTCTCTTAACAGTCTTACATACATTTTAAACATATGAAATACGATATCTTGTCGATTAATGCCTATACCCTCTGCGAATAGAGTACCTTTATAAACACTTTTAAATTGAGTTTTCTGTTTAGATATTAAGTGATTAGTTTCTTTTTCTTAATTTGGCACGAGAATTGCGGTCAAAATAAATTGATTGACTATATATCTGACAGAAACTGAAAAAATTAATATGTTTTAATTAACTTCCCGTCCAGATATTATCATTGCCCTTTATATGCTAGGTTATAATGGTTTAACAGCCGTTTTACGATAACACACTTTTGACTGACTCCTACTGCAGGCAATATAGTAGAATAAATAACATAAAGGATACTTCGCCGCATGCTTTTTAATAGTAATTAGGAAATTTGTATTTCCAAATCCACCAAAAAAAAAGTAATTTAAAAGAAGATTATTATCGTATATTATATAGAAATAGACACAGCACAGTACACGTGAAACTGTCACCCAAATGTCACAATGTTGCTGAGTTAATTAGTAATGTTAATCTAACGGATTCATTGAAATTGGACGCATTCAGTTACGAAAAGGCTTTGATGTGAGTCTTGGAATACCCCATATATTACAGTGGAAAAACTTGTCGTAATCTTTATGTTAGAATGCTAACTCTTGTTAATACTGGAGATAAAATATTGAATAAACTCTCGCAAGGATTATTGGCAACCTCCTCTAAATAAATATTTTCCCCAAATCCTACGTGTTTATTAGCGCTCCGCTGTTAGGTGTTACTTTTTAATGCGATTTAGGCAACTTTAGGCCAGGTAATTCTTTATAGTATGTTTGACGTAAAACAACGTCCTCTGCTTGAACTGTAACTGGACATGAAAGAAGCACAAATTGGTACAAAGATTTTTGAAAATAGTTTTATGGTTTTTTAACTTGAGATAAAGATCAAAATAGTCTAATGAATGAAACTTGTAGTCCTGTTTATTAACATGTTGATAACTCGAGAATTAGTATTTTAGGTTTCCTTATATTTCATATAATGGTAATGTATGCTGCACTCGTAAGTCCTCTTCACTGTACAGTTGGTATTGTTTTTCTGTAGTAAACGACAGTTACTACAACAGTGTAGCTTGTGTTGTATAGTACGAAAAATATATGAACCCATGCACACAAAGTCAGCCTTCTTAAAGCGAGAATACGGGTATTCAACCAGGAGCTTTGGATGGGCCCCTTGAGAACACAGTAATTTTACGTATAATTTAAAATAACATTATGTAGTTTCTAGAGTTTTCACCAGAGGTACACTGAGTTAAAACTGTCACATGCAGAGACTGTTTATTCCATTCAGTTTTGCGAGGCAAACTGTTAACGTCTTGAGTCAGAACAAGCGATTGTGATGTTTCTGATATGTGTATTAAAAACTGAAAAGTAAAAAAAAAATTCTTTAAAACAATTAAAATCAAGGTCCTTTTGTCAGGAGATAATTAAGTAGATGTCTGGGAGGTTTACGGATACGTTGAAGGAATCCGCACAATCCAAAAGATTGAGAACCACTGATTTAATAGAACCTGGCTACAGAAATATGAATTCGTTGATGATGAGACGGCTTTGTTACCATAACATATTCGTGTGAAATTATGGCGGCTTACATTTATCATGAGGTTCGGTACAAGACAGTTATTCATCCTAAATATAAAAGTAAACCTCATTGATCTGCTCTGCAAAATTCTTCCAAAACTTGGTACAAGGCTGAAAGGTAAGTTACCACTCTTTTCAAAGAAAAACATTCACACTGTGAGACCCTGGAGTGGTGTAGAGTCAAAACACAGAGCCCTTAAAAGAAAAGGGACTTAATATTCTCCATGGTAGTAAAAAAAGTAGTAAGCCAATCAGGACCAACGTCGTTTATCTGCAAGTTAAAGGCTATGCTTACGAGAGATCCCTTTTACCTCAAAAAGCTATCGCAATGAAACTAGACACATTCCCTGTTACTACTGAAAATATAACAAACGTGGAACTGGGTCTGACAATGGATCACAAACCAAAGTTCACACACGATCTTCTAGCCACAAATTCAACGGCTTTTTAAAAGAAAGATAACCAAAGAAACTGGAATTACAATAATTCCATTCTACCATATTCTTATCAACTTCTCTAATACTTCCAAATGAACTATTTTGGCCTTTGAGTATTGGAGAACATTGACATGTCTTTTCTCTAAAGAAGTTTGATCTCATCGTGACATCGTTGCAGGACCATTGCTAAGACGAAGGAAGAGCACGTAAAGCATGGCCACCGGACAAAATACAATCTTTAGTACTCGTATGTTGATCTTTATAATCGTTTTCAGAATGTGAGTCGAGCGTCCTAACCACCAGACCATGCCAGACAAAACATTGTCTTCAACACTATCTCGATTTCGTCCCCTGAAGAATAAGATATTACAGTTTGAAAGACGTCAAGTGTTTTGGTCATTTTGGTTCTTTGATAATCACTTTTTAGTGATCCACTTATATTTTAATAATGGAGATTTTAAAGTTCTTTAGATTTCTTTTTCTTTTGCTGCAATATCAGGACTTACCTGCTCATAAACTACTGGCTAATTATGAATGGCCACGGTTTGCAATATTGTAACATTTATTAGGTGTTCAGTTCATGTTTTAAAACGTAAGTCGAATTATACTAAATCTGCTAAAATAAAAGTATATACGTATACATATGACAGTATTAATGTATTTATATACATTATAAAATCCAAGCAATCTTTACTCTTGTTTCGAAAACAGGCGGATAATACTGAAAGTTCGCGCGAAAAGAGACATTTTGAAAAAAGATAAAAACTAATTAATTTGGAGGGGGGGGATAGATTGAAGTCTTTACACTGGTGGCTTGGTGATAAGTCTGAAAGATCTATAACTCTAAAATCAGGTTTCGGTATCCTCGGTGAGCACAACACAAATAACCCATTGTGTAGTTTTGGGCTTAACAACAACTAAACAAATTGTTCATATGTACTTTGTGATAACAAAAGTTATATAAACGTTGAATGATTATTTTTTTCTGCCACTTTTTAAACACTTTGCGTGAGGACATTACTTTACTGAAATGAATCAAAACCTAAGGTTGTTAACACTTATCTCAGGAATTAACGTTAAGCGAATATATATATATATATAAGTTACTTCCCAGTAATCTGAAATCGATTTCATATTACCCCCGGGGGTAGCCTGAACCTGATTTCATATTACCCCTGCACTGTTCAGATTACCCCCATCGCTGATTTAGCTAAAATGATAAATTCTTACGCTTACAACTCATGATACGTTTATTGAATAAAACACATAAAACATACAAGATTGAAAACTAGTCTCAATGTCACAAAAATATTATTATTATTTGTTGTTGTTGTTGTCAGTTTATTTGTGTTTATGTATGAAATAAGTATCTAAATAAACATAAATAAATAAATGTTTTGAGGGGGTAAGCTGAAATCGTAGGGGGTATGTTGAAATCACCTTCAAGCTACCCCCCAGGGGTACTTTGAAATCGATTTCATCCTACCTCCCGGTAATCTGAACGTATATTCTTTATCACCAAATAACTTCGCTATGATAAAAGTTAAATTATTAATTCTCACTTGTTCTCTAGATTTTATAATCTTTGTGTCACGATTTGTAGTTTATGATAAAAAATATACAAATAATAAATGTCCGAATATTAGGTCGACTAACCTGCATCAGTTCCGTCATCTCTTTTTCTTTTATTTAAATTTGCGTTTGTATCAGAATTAGGAATTCCCAATATTCCGTTAATGGAGTAAGAAGGTCGTAACAGAGATTGTGCTCCGTCGTGGGTTGTAGGCGGCGCATGCGTAATGACAGAGGTGACATTAACAGATTCCTGTTGTTGTGGGCTTCCACAGTTGAAGTTAGGTGAACTCATGAAATACCTTGCTTTTTGAGCTGCTTTGTTTCGTACAATCCTATGGATGAAATACATATCATCGACTTCTTACATAGAAAGCAAACAGTAACTGTTACAAGAGTCATATTTGCATTCATAAGAATATTCGAGAAATAAATCGATTCTTAATCAACACAGAAAATAATATCACAAAAAGAAGTAAGGCTTTTAAATAATTAAATGAAACGTTGAAATATAAAAAGGCAAAGCTTCTCAAACAGAACGCTTGAAATCCGAAAGAGCTATACATTATAGCAGGTACACTCATCCCAAATATATATATATATATATACAAATATTAGGTCGTCAAGAAATTAATATTTCGTTTTGGAACACTTTCATTAAACACCCCCCAACGTGATGGCATACGACGAGACACACATTCGGCATGTAATGCTGTCTGAATACAAGAAGGGAAACAAC